CAGAATATGTCGTGACACGTTAGATCATTGATGATGGGGAATGGCTGATTTTGATGTGTTGTCATGCCACTGTTGCGCGTCTCGAGACGACGCTTGTGGAATCGAGCGTCTAGATGGGGACTGGCTGGTTTTGATATTGTGGCGTGCTGCCAATGATGTGCGTCTCTAGTGGGCATATGTGGAATCGAGTGTCTAGATGGGGAACGGCTGGTGTTGATGTGGTACGTTGCCAGTGACGTGTGTCTCAAGTGGGCACTTGTGGAATCGAGCGTCTAGATGAGGGATGGCTGCTTTTGATGTGGTGTGCTGCCACCGATGTGCGTCTCCGGTGGGCACTTGTGGAATGGAGCGTCTAGATAGATGGGGGACGGCTGATGTTGATGTGGTGTGCTGTCACTGATGGGCGTCTCCGATGGGCACTTGTGACACAATATGGCTTCAAATCTTGCCGGAAAGCATCATTTATCCCCATATATTGATGTAAGGCACGCTAGATCATTGATAATGAGGAATGATTGATTTTGATGTGTTGTCATACCACTACTGCGCGTCTCGAGAGGGCACTTGTGGAATGCAGCCTCTAGACGGGAACTGGTTGGTTTTGATGTGGTGTCGTGCTGCCAATGATGTGTGTCTCTAGTGGGCACTTGTGGAATCGAGCGTCTAGATGGGGAACGGCTGGTGTTGACGTGGTGTACTGCCACTAATGGGTGTCTCTGTTGGGCACTTGTGGCACAATGTGGCTTCAAATCACGCCGGAGGGTATCGTTCATCCCCATATATTGATGTAAGCGCGGGTATCGTTCAAATCATGTATAAAACTTGAAAACCCAGGGTTATGTTGTATTTTAGAGTCCCTACCTGTGTTGAAGCCCTGGTGCATATTTGGTGGCAGCATTTCACTGCCTTCAGATGGTGCTTGACGTGGTGTGGTGTATATTTGCTGAGATTGATGCAGGATATTATCCGTCTTGTATTTCGCGGCGTTTACATGGTGTTTTACATGTTTGTAGTACATGTTTCGTGGGATTGATATAGGATGTTATTCGTCTAGAATTTTGCGGCGTTTACATGGTCTTTCGCATATTTTCTGTGTATATCGACGTGTGCAAAATCCATGTAACACCATGGGTGCGACTAGTGTTCTAAGGGGAATGAGATCATTCTAGATTACTCACATGCGATTTCGTAGGGCGTTCACTCGGGGACAGCTTTGGGTGGGACTTCTTGGGATCGTGGCTGGGCGGCGTTCCTTGTGGAAAGCAGCTTGCAGGCAAAATGGGCGGGACCAGGACCTTGAGCTGTAATATGTTGATGCCACGCAGGGCGTTGGGTTCACATATGAGGGGTCCGTCTTCCGCGCGGCTTACGCGCAGCTTACGCGCATACACCATCATACAACATAATTTTTGCAGCAGCAACAGCAAGAGTAGCAGTAGTAGTAGTAGTAGTAGTAGTCGTAGTAGTCGTAGTAGTAGTAGTAGTAGTAGCAGTAGAAGTAGTAGCAGGTAGCAGTAGTAGTACTAGTATTAGTAGTAGTAGTAGTAGTAGCAGTAGTAGTAGTAGTAGTAATAGTAGTAGTCTGTCGTCCGAAAATATGATTTCGGATAGGTCTGCTTAGTCCACAAAAATAATTTCGGATATGGTGCTCCACACCAATAATATGGTTTCGGATAGTGTCTTTTAGTTCTCTTGACTGGTAAATTTAGTATTTCACACGTGTAAGGCTTTTATAATAGAGAAGAAGTCGTGCCCACATCTTGCTACATGTATTTTCTACAGTACTTGTTTCGATACGGTTGATACTCTATGGCCTTTCCTACTAGTAAGAAAGGGAGTGATGGGACTATGATGTAATCCCATCACATCTACCGAATAGTACTACTAGGATCTTCTAGCAAAAATTGATATGACTAAGACCCCTCCCTGTATTATCTGACGAATAGAAAAACGACAAGGTTCATGGAAAATAAATGATATCTATAATTCAATGAAAATATATTATAAATTTTCAATTTTCATATATAGTAATTTCTAACTTATATAGATCAAAGCGAATCAAATCTAAATATATAGAATCAAATGGAATAAGATTAGGTATAAGCTCAGGAGCACGACATGGCGGGGCATGGAGCAAAATTAAGAGCCAGGGCAGAACAGAGGTTATAGAAAAAACAAAAATCCCAATTTTAGCGCTTTTAGAAAAACCTCTAGAATATATCAAAATCTTCAATTTGAGGTTGGGAAATGATTGGGAGAAAGGAAGAATTCGCAAGGCGAATTTGATTCTAGGGTTCAGGGTTCTTTGGGTTTGGGATTTAGGAGAACGTCATGTAGGGTGTATGGCAAGGGTTCTGGATATAGGGTTGAGGCACAGGCATGATCTAGGAATTTCGGGTTCTGGATTCAGGGCAAAAATCGAGCCTCCCTAAACCTTTTATGTTCGAAAGAAAAATCGAAAGTCCAAACCCTAAAACCCCAAGTTCCAATCGTGAGATGTGTCTCGCTACAAACCGTGCTGTGAAAACTACCCTAAACTGGGTCCTTATTAGCAGATGGAGGAATATTAATAATAATCCAAAATCTTAATTTTCAAAATTAAGAAAAAATATTAGCAAAGAACAAAAAATTCAATTTCGAGAGATAGACATCACTCGTAGAACTTGTAAAGACTAAGAAAGATACGACTTAAAAGAAGATAGAAAAATCAGCTCGAAGATTTAGCATAAAATCTCAGAAAAATCAAAGAATCAAAATTCAGAGCTTAGAATCAAAGCTAACAATTAATGAAATTTCCAAAGAATAAGTTTTAGACAAAACAAGAAATATAGAAATCTAAAAATAGAATCTTTATTATATCTATATTATCGATTAGCGACTAAAAAATATAACTAACCTATATCTATTATACTACCCATCAATAATAACGATAATAATTCCAGTAGCCGAGCCAAAATTCTATTTATTTCATAAAAGAAATTCCAATATAATCATATTATTATAAACTAAAAATCAAAATAAAAAAAAAAAATCTTTATAAAACGAAATATTATAAAATATTTTTCAATTTAGAAAAAATCTAAGATATGTAAAATATTCAAACGTCCCAAAATTTCTTTTGCACAAGAAAATTTCTTCGTAAATTTTTGAATAAAAGAATCTAAATATTCTTATCGTATTCGAATCTTTTTTTTGGGAATTAAAATTCATATCTATTTTTTTGTAAAATTCGAAATTCAGCTTTTAAATAAAGAGCTCAAAATATAGAATGAAAGAATATAACTAATTTCTCTAAAGAAAAAATATTTAGAATTATTTCAAACCAAAATATGACCAATAATATTAACAATTTATTCTAAGTTGTGGTTACCCTCGCCGCCACCTATTTCTTTCTAGATAATTATCCAAAAATAGCCGCCCAGAACACTGTCATTCTTCTGTTGTCTCAGGTCTGTTTCTAGGCCGGGTCCACCTCTACATCCGCAAGTTCACGGCAAGCATCTCAACGAATGTATGGGTACCTCACCCTTTGGGTGAGGAGCTGAAAAATTAACCCATCATATAACATAAAGTACTTCATCTGATTCCATGTAGTTGGCGAAAAAGGCTGGCAGGCATTCCAGGGAGCCTCAGCATGTCTCCATGGGCATCCTCCATATGTTGCATACAGGCTTGCGTTGAGGCAAACCACTTGTCGCACGTTCCGCATTGAACACTTCCCGGTGGCATGCCGAAACAGTGGCCTGAATCCCGCATGTGCTGCTCCATGGCTTCCAAGGTATTGAAATCTTTCAAACAAACTGGACAAACGCTGATGGTACTCTTTGCCTGGGCATTGCCCCGCTGTGGCTGTGCAGCTGGCTTTGCCTTGGCCTGTGGCTTCTTGGAAGCCTTCCACAAGGGATCGTGGCTCTTTGCGGCACAGTGCTGCTCTAAAGAGACCAAGTTGTCGAAGTCTTTGTCGCACTGAAAGCAAGTCAGCACACACCCCAGCGAGCCTGCGTGCTTGGTTTGCTTCTGATGCTGACCCAGTTCCTTCTCGTTCACGAAACTCTCCTTACAACCCTTTTGTCCACATCTGTAGTAGTCCGGAGGTCCGGGGTGGAACTGAGTGAACTTGTGAGATGGATCATGGAAGTCGGCCTCCCAGGGGCAACAGCTATGTCTTCTCTGAAAAGCTAAATCCAAGCATGCCATAACGAATTGAGTGAGGCCTACATAGATGCCACGTTACATGTACATGATAACACAACAGACGGCTTATCGATTTCTCGCCCCAAAGCCTTGCGACTCTGGCATCTTGAGCAAACGAAGTCGTCGCAGTCCATACACGCAAAAATTGCCTTGCCCTGCATGGGATATGATTTGCAGCCCGCGCACTTGAATGCCCATCCGGAAACAGGCGGCTTCGATTCTTGTCGGGCTGACTGGGTATTGTCCTTGGATTTGTCAGCCACAACCGTTGGAGTGGTGTGAGAGTAGGTGCAGGCAGCCCCTTTGTCACACTTGCCAGCAGCAAAATACTTGCAAGGCTTCATCTGAATCGCGGCGTTTTGATTCACAGCCTCTGGATTTACATGGGAGTAGGTACAGGCCTTGCCTTTGGTACACTTGCCTTCGGCGAAGTACTTGCAAAGCGCTGCCTTGCCCTTGTCCTCGACCTTCTGCTTCGGCGGTGCGGCGGGAGGAGCTTGGGATCCCTTCTTGGAAGTCGTCGTTTTGGCCTTGCAAAGAGAGGCAGCCTCATGCTTGAGGTCGACATAACCCATCCACTCGACCCGCACCTCGCAACTCATCGGGTTGAGAGTTTAGGCCTTAAGTTCTGAACCCTAAACCGCTAGGGTGAGACAGAGACTCAGGTTGCAGGCCGTAGGGTGTAGGGCTGAACAGAGGATCCGTTGATTCGCCAGATGCATAACATTCCAACTATGACTATCCTTATCATAACTGTCATCACTATTGCTATGAGTGCGGTCATGTGCCCTGCTTTTTCAAATGTTATGTAATATATCCCTAAACCCTAGCCTGATTCCTAAACCCAAACCCCAACCCAAGCACTCTTCCTAGACCCTCCATCTACCGTCTAGTAGACCCTAAGTACCCTGTATCTGGGACCCTTGACCCCTATTTGAGGGTACTTGGAGGGTCCTGGCTAGGTCAGGTTTCCAGCTAGACCCAAGAGAAACCTACGAATAAAAAGGGTGCCTTTTTGGTTTAAAGGACTTTATAAGGGAACCTGAACCCTAAAAAAGGGAATAAGGGCCTACTCTGGGTCCTAGCCAGATTAAAAGGAAACTACAGGTGGGGAGTTTAGGGTATATAGGGCTTCTATAAGGCTTCTGTAAGGTATATAGACCTTCTATCAGGCTCGTATAACGGTAACTACCCTCCTGAAAATATCCTAGACCAGAAAGAAGTGCCTGGAACTCCTGATCTTCCAGCTCGGTTCGGATGGCTCGGACCAGCTTCGGCTGGGCGGCGAGCTCCAAGTCGCAATGTTTGCCTTTTGGGATAACAAGGATTAGGGCTTAGGGTTCAAAGTTTAGGGTTTAGGGTTTTCTACAGTAACGAAGGGTGCCTTGAAAGTGCCACAAAAGTACTTTCAAGCTCTAGAAGGGTCCCAGCAGGGTCTGTTCGAAGGGTGCCACAGAGTGCTACATAAAGGTTTCGGGTATGGTACCTGCATAGTAGATCTGGAGGCCTTCAAGGGGGGGTCCTCAAGGTCCCTAACGGTCAAGTATCTATGAAACATGTGGCGGACAGGCCCTTAGCGTGCGCCTCCTTCCACGCAAAGAATCCGCGCTTTCTGGGCGCCCACCAGACGCACCGCTGTAACTACGCAGGTGACCACCTTGGCCTCCCACTTGGCAACCCAGTCCTTGCCACTGAGCGAGTTGACCATGTCTCCGGACTTGCCAAATGCCTTCAGCATGCCACTGCCGGCACAAAGTTGAGCCGCTTCATCGTGGAACTTCTCCGGACACGAGGCACACACCACTACGGTGTCCGCCATGTTTGCCTACCTACCTACGGGCCAGCCTCAAGGGGCTTGAATCCACAACATCACAAACACGAATCAGGAGCAGCGTCAATGCCTGTCTATACATATATATATATATATACATACATACATATATATATATAATCATTATTATTGTTATTATTATGATTATTATTATTTTGATTATTACTATTATAATTATGATTATTATTATTATTTAGATCTTCATTTATACATTTATGTATTTACTTATTTATTTGTTTAGTATTAAATCAAGTATTTAGCTGTCTTTATGCATTTAGACAGATAGCTGGATAAATAAATCGATAGCTAACTAGATAGATAGATAGATAGATAGATCGTTAGATGGATAGATCGTTAGATAGATAGACGGATAGATAGATCGATAGATCGATAGATAGGAGATAGCTAGATAGATGAGGTTTTTGGCAGTTTACTGGGTGTTGCCTGGAAAATGTCTAACCGCTCGAAACAGGCTCAACCTACAGACCCCAAAATCACCGGCTGGATGACAGCACGCACAGTGGATCGCAAGCTGACATCAACACGTGCACATCGCGAAAGACCAAAAACCCAGCCGCAAAGTCTTCCCCATTACACTCCAATCCCTAAACCCTAAACCTCTAAACCTTCTACATGTAATTCAGCTTGCTATGCATCCTGGTTAGGCTCTCTTCCGGGATCTATGATTACATTGTGATCCCCCCTAAGCCCTAAACCCCTCCCCCCCCACTATAGGGGCCTTAATAATTACCTATACTATTTGGGGAGGTTCCTTATTATAATTATAGTACTATTCTTATCATTTAGGCCCCTACATTGACCCAGTCCCTAGGCCCCTCCGTTGCTTTTTCTCCCTCAGAGCACGCGGAAGGTGAAGGCCTCCACCTGGAGCACAAATGTGGGTCGTTCTCTCAATTCAGGTCCCCTTTTGGGTACTGTAGTTCTCTAAATTAAGGCCTTTTTTGGGTAGTTCTCTAAATTAAGGTCCCCTTTTCTCTAAATTAAGGTCCCTTTTTGGGTAGTTCTCTAAATTAAAGTCCCTTTTTGGGTAGTTCTCTAAATTAAGGGCCCTTTTTTGGGTAGTTCTCCGAATTAGGGTCCCTTGTTGCCCACATGGTACGGCACCCCTTATAAAAAGGACCCTAAAGGGGACCCTAATTTAGAGCACTACCTGTCTGGGGTTCTTAGGCTTCTTGGGGCTCTTTAGGGCTCTTGGGGTTTAGGGTCTCGGGTTTAGGGTTCTCAGGCCTCTTGGGGCTCTTCGGGCTCTATGGGTTACCATCTAGGGTTTAGGGTTCTTGCGCTTTTTGGGGGCTCTTGGGGTTCTATGGGCTGTACGGGTTCTTAGAGGTCTCCTCCAGCTCTAAGCAACCTCCTGGGCCTTTTAATTTCGGATTTTGGGGCGCTAAACCCTAGCGGTCTTGGGTGATTATTAGGGTGTCTAAACACCGAAACATTCACACCATTACTCTCAGGAGCCTAAACCCCAGGCCAGACCGTTAAGGCATTCATGGAGGGAACCGGTTTAGGGCTTAGGGTTTTAGGATTTAGGGATTTGGGGATCATAAGCAACCCTGCTATTGATTCTCTAGGCTTCTCGATGGAGGATCTGAGGTGGACTCGCAGCTACCGAAATCCACCTCCGGTTTGTTGAAGCCTCATCCCAGCTCAGGATGGCAGTGTCCCCAAACCTTAAACCCTAAACCCTAAGAATTACTTCAAACCCTAAACTCTAAACCCTCAAAAAAAGAACAAATAGACATTTCTTGTTGCTGTTGGCCATCCGGAAGCTCGGTTTTTCGGTCGGGACACGACCTTTCCATTTTCTAAAGAACCAATTTCCGTTTCAGCGCAGCCAGCCCAGCCGCAGCCCCAGCCCCAGCCCAGGACAGCTTACAGCTTACACCGAACTAGACGCCCAAACCGGGGAAACGTACAAAGCCCTTGGGTGTTTTAGGCTTACCCGCGGCTCCAAACACATGTGCATGCCCCTTAGTCCCCCGAGTCAAAGGTGTCGAAAAGCCTCGTGCCTCGCAAAGCGTCAGGGGCTCGCCACCAGGCAATACAACACCTGGCTTGCTGGTACGTCATGCAATGACAGATGTCGACCGATGCTGCGTATCCCAGCGGCAACAAAAGGCTCCCCAAAAAAGGAAACGATGAAACCTACAGTAGGAGACCCTTATCTCCCGCAGAGTAACCTCAGGCACTCTGAACTCCCAAACCCGGCAGCTCTATTTAAACAACACTGAGATCCTGAAATGCCCTAAGTCCAACTCAGTCCAACAGCTTCTTGAACGGAGCCCTGGTTTCGCGAACCTACCAAGTGTAGCAGAATCAAGAGATCAGCCGCCGGGGTTGTTTTGGCGTTTGGAGCTCGGGGTGCAATGCTGGCGCCGTGCTTCGGGTTGCTACAGGATCTGCCGCGCAATGAAACCTCGGGAAAGAAGCAGGCCACTCGAAGTCGCGGTCGGAAAACACCTTTCACAAACACATAAACCGTAACCCTAAGCCCACATGAAGCTCTACGCCGACATATTGCCAGACTTCTGGGCTTGTCCCTTTGGGGGGGTCGTAAGGCCGTAGGGCCGTAGAGTTTACTGTGATGATAGTTAGGGATTAGCGTTTAGGGTGTAGGGTGTGGGGGTTTGGGCTTTGAGGATTCAAGTGAAACGGCATCAGCCAGAGGTCTCCGAGTCCAAGGTTTCGGGGCCATCAAGTTAAAGCTGTAAAGGTGTACTACCTTAAACCCTTATGGTACCATGGTACCCTTATAGAACCGCTCAAACTTTAAAGAGCCTATTGAAAAAAAAAACCTACAGCTTAGCGGAACCGGTTAAAGGGTTGGCCCTTGTTGGGTGCCAAACCCGGAACCCTGAACCCCACACTCTGATCTAGGGTTCTGGGGTTTAGGGGGTTTAGGGTATAGGGCCTAAGTTTAAGGGGTTTAGGGTTTAGGGGGTTTAGGGTATAGGGCCTAAGTTTAAGGGGTTTAGGGTTTAGGGGGTTTAGGGTCTCAACCCAGAGGCCGTGATAAAGCACGGCATCACCCGCCAGGAGCTCCGACGAACCTGCCCTGCATGAAGCCCATTGCTTCACCCGAACCTGGGCACAACTGGCTTGAGGGGTCAAGCACCTTGGGGTCGAATTAGGCTTTGGGGCTCTTAGGGTTTAGGGGTTTTGGGGTTTAGGGGCTAGGTTACGATCTGACTAAGTTTGCGCAGTGTAGATACAAAGCTTATACAGCAGGGTTTTTAATGGTGTTGACACCTTCGGGACACACTTCTGCTTTCCACTGTAGCAGAAGACCCAATCTATTGGGTCGGATACCTTGGTAGTAGTAGTCGCCGTAGTAGTAGTAGCAGTAGTAGCAGTAGCAGCAGCAGTAGCAGCAGTAGCAGCAGTAGGAGAAGGAGTGGGAGTAGGAGTAGGAGTAGGAGTAGAAGTAGGAGTAGGAGCGGGAGTAGGATTAGTAGTAGTAGTAGTCGTCGTCGTCGTGGTGGTGGTGGTGGTGGTGGTGGCGGCGGCGGTGGTGGTGGTAGTAGTAGTGGTCGTCGTCGTCGTGGTAATGGTAGTGGCAAAATATGAGAACTATCGGAAATCAGGGACCCGAACTTTGAATCTCAACAATGCGACTTTACAAAATCGATCCGTCAAACAGCCCCTCTGACCTTTGAGTAGATAACCACGGCGAAACCCATAAACCATGCAAAAAAAACTCTATGAACCACGATGGCAATCTTCGTAAGCAAGAACCATCAAAAACCCCTTAGTTGCAAGAACGCCCAGAGCAAACGCTCCAAGGGGCAGCGAATCAGCCGGCGGCCCCCTGGTTGCAGCATTCGTTGCCTGCTTCGTGACAATGTGGGACAGGGGGCCCTTATACAGTACCACAAATAGTAGGATCCTTATTATAAGGACCCCCAAAATAAGGTACCCCTTATCTTCGGAAACTCCCATGTAGGGGTTTAGGGCTCAGGCAATGTATACGAGGTCTAGGATTTAGGCAGTGTAACGGTTTAGGGTTGTGGAGTTTAGGGTTTAGGGGCCCTGGTCATTACGCGCGCAACTTCTTCCTTAATTATGCTAGGACTATGAGGGTTTCTGAATGTAGGGGCCTTGGTGATTAGAAAAGGGGTTTGGGTGCCATTTCTTCAGGCATACTAAGACTGTACCGGGGCACTGCCAGAGTTGGAGGGTTTGTCGATCCCGGGGTGCTGAGGGTGCTTAGCTTTTTTTTTCTAGGTGTTGGGGTGTTTTACGGCTTTAGTATGTTGTAGTGTTGCTTCGATGACTGCAGTAATCCATTGTACGGGTGAGCCAGCACGGCTTGCTCAAAGGTATAAGGGGGAAGAGACTTGGGCTTATGGCTTTGGTGGGGTGTTAGGGGCTGTAGATAAGAGGGCTTTTGGGCTAGTGACTTTAGTCGTGCTGTATGAGTAGAGGGGGTGTTGCAAATGTGTTGGTACGAAATTGAAATGGGTACCTTGAGCGCTACAGCTTTATACGACCGGTTCAGGGTCTCGAGCTTTCGCTTCAACTTCCGAGGGCCACGCGAATGGAGATCCGAGACCCCTTTGGTAGCGCAAGACGAACGGAGATACGAAAAACAGCAGCAACAATCGTTGTAACATCGGGGCCTGCATGATTACCAACACTTTTCCTTCGGCTTCCGTAAATAAGCGTACGAAAAGATGACCCCAAGGCCGATTCCCAGTATTCAGGCTCCTTTTCTTGGAAAGGGGAAATGATTTTTCCTGCAAGTTTAGGGTTAAGATTGAGGGTTTGGGGTTTAAGGTTTAGGCGCTTTGGGCGCCGCCGATGTTGACGAAGCACGTAGCTACACCAAGAATGAAAGGTGCAGTTGGCAATTTCGTGTTTGTGGATGAAATAGCGTAGGTCCATACATAAGAAGAACAATTGCAAGCTCTTGCCGACATGCTCAAACCTTAGATAAAAGTAGCCCAAAATATACTCCAGTACCGTAC